TCACCGTGCAGCACGCGGTCCAGGTGCCCGCTGTCCATCTGCCACACATGCAGTCCCGCCCCGCCCCGCGTGTCGCTATCGTCACGCTAGCGTCACGCTGCGTACACTCACCGTGCAGCACGCGGTCCAGGTGCCCGCTGTCCATCTGCCACACATGCAGTCCCGCCCCGCGTGTCGCTATCGTCACGCTAGCGTCACGCTGCGTACACTCACCGTGCAGCACGCGGTCCAGGTGCCGCTGTCCATCTGCCACACATGCAGTCCCGCCCCGCGTGTCGCTATCGTCACGCTAGCGTCACGCTGCGTACACTCACCGTGCAGCACGCGGTCCAGGTGCCCGCTGTCCATCTGCCACACATGCAGTCCCGCCCCGCGTGTCGCTATCGTCACGCTAGCGTCACGCTGCGTACACTCACCGTGCAGCACGCGGTCCAGGTGCCCGCTGTCCATCTGCCACACATGCAGTCCCGCCCCGCCCCGCGTGTCGCTATCGTCACGCTAGCGTCACGCTGCGTACACTCACCGTGCAGCACGCGGTCCAGGTGCCCGCTGTCCATCTGCCACACATGCAGTCCCGCCCCGCGTGTCGCTATCGTCACGCTAGCGTCACGCTGCGTACACTCACCGTGCAGCACGCGGTCCAGGTGCCGCTGTCCATCTGCCACACATGCAGTCCCGCCCCGCGTGTCGCTATCGTCACGCTAGCGTCACGCTGCGTACACTCACCGTGCAGCACGCGGTCCAGGTGGCCGCTGTCCATCTGCCACACATGCAGTCCCGCCCCGCGTGTCGCTATCGTCACGCTAGCGTCACGCTGCGTACACTCACCGTGCAGCACGCGGTCCAGGTGCCCGCTGTCCATCTGCCACACATGCAGTCCCGCCCCGCCCCGCGTGTCGCTATCGTCACGCTAGCGTCACGCTGCGTACACTCACCGTGCAGCACGCGGTCCAGGTGCCCGCTGTCCATCTGCCACACATGCAGTCCCGCCCCGCCCCGCGTGTCGCTATCGTCACGCTAGCGTCACGCTGCGTACACTCACCGTGCAGCACGCGGTCCAGGTGCCCGCTGTCCATCTGCCACACATGCACGGTGCCGTCGCTGCAGCCCACCACCATGAAGTCGTCGGCAGGTCGCCACTTGATGCTGACCACGGGGAACAGGTGGCGTGACGCTAACGTCACGCACTTGCGTTCGGATAGACCTGGGAGGGAGAAACGTCTTGAAAATACATAATATCGCACCTTTATTCCGATACTGTCATTAAACAAAACTAGCAAACCGGTGAAACAAATGTTCAACAAAACCTGATTTCTCGAAAACCGGAAGTGCTACGTTACTCAAATCCGGTTTGTAGTCTTATCAGACTATTCTTAACTTATAACTTAAACATTCTCTTTATCTATCTCTTACGGTTTGGCCGCTGAAACAGCACCACAGACAGACCGACGGACTTGTCTAATAGATAAGAGATTCTTCAAAAAATAGTTTACAACGCCATCTATTTACTACGTTATGAATCTAGGTTCAGTTCAGTTTAATTTTATCTCTTATCTATTAGACAAGTCCGTCCGTACGTCCGTGGTGCTGTTTCAGCGGCCAAACCGTAAGAGATAGATAAAGAGAATGTTTAAGTTATAAGTTAAGAATAGTCTGATAAGACTACAAACCGGATTTGAGTAACGTAGCACTTCCGGTTTTCGAGAATTCACGAATTTCAAACGAAACTACACAATATCTCCGAAGTTTTTTTTTTTTAAATCAGGTTTTGGTGAACATTTGGTTCACTGGTTTGCTAGTTGTATGATAATGACAGTATTGGAATAAATGTGCGATATGTTATTATTTGAAAAAAAAAAAAATGGTTGCCTGTAAAGTCGGTTTTACGGGCGAAGATTTTACGTGACAACGTCTTTTTCTCGGTAGAATATTTATTGATATGAATATAATTAAATTGCACAATAGGAACAAGGAATTGAATGAAAATAAGAATTGCACAAATTTTAACTATAGAAATATATTTTGTTTACTAAAACATTGTACATGTAAACTTAAACTTAACACGAGAGACTCATCGTAACGTTACCGAGCGTTACACTTTTTCATAAGTGACTCCCAGCCGCAACCTAATTTAAGACGTTGTCACGTCAAAAAACGGGTGGATATATACTATTATGAACTGACTATTTTGTAGGTATTGCGTGAAGTTTCGATACGGAGCTGGAAATGTATAGAATACTACTTGTACAAGTTTTGTAAATTATATTACTTTACAAAACTTGTACAAGTAGTATTATAAATAACTTACTTAACAATGTGACGCTGTGGTCGGAAGCCACCGAGCAGATGCACTTTTGGATTCTCGGCTGAAATAAAATATCTAGGTATATTATATTATTATTTTAAGAAATGAAACAAAATCTATCGTATTTTGACGTGACAACGTCTTAAATTAGGTTGCGGCTGGGAGTCACTTATGAAAAAGTGTAACGCTCGGTAACGTTACGATGAGTCTCTCGTGTTAAGTTTAAGTTTACATGTACAATGTTTTAGTAAACAAAATATATTTCTATAGTTAAAATTTGTGCAATTCTTATTTTCATTCAATTCCTTGTTCCTATTGTGCAATTTAATTATATTCATATCAATAAATATTCTACCGAGAAAAAGACGTTGTCACGTAAAATCTTCGCCCGTAAAACCGACTTTACAGGCAACCATTTTTTTATCGTAATAGTGCTTAGATTACTCAGTTTAAAGTAAAAATCCTAAAATAGGATATTTGACAGTGTTAAAATTAAGAAAATATTCATAATTTTACTAGAAACTAACGAAAAAGATAATAGTTTTCTTTACGTGACTCAAAACGCTTGGGATTGGCGGAGTCTAAAATGACATCACACGCAAGTAAACTTCCGGTTAAAGTGACATTACATTATATCGTTTGACGTTTTAATAACAGTCGTGTGACGTCACACACTAGTAAGACGCCATATTGTCCAGAGAAACGTTTTCGCGGCAACTTGAAAATGGAGTTTTTGATTTGGTTATTTTTACTGAAATACACAACAAAATGATGAATATCCACTTTTTACGGACCCATAAACATAAATCAACTAGTGGCCCGCCCTCGCTTCGCTTCGGGGTCGAATTGATCAAAATCCTTTCTTAGCGGATGCCTACGTCATAACATCTGCCTGCATGCCAAATTTCAGCCCGATCCGTCCAGTGCTTTGGGGTGTGCGTTGATAGATCACTATGTCAGTCAGTCAGTCAACTTTGAGTTTAATATATATAGATAACGTGAGATCGATTTTTAAATTTTGTCAAATACCCTATTGATTTCTACAACCTTGAAACTAAATCTCCAAATCCCATAATAGACTACGCACTCACGCGGCTACATTAAAAAAAAAGCGAGCGAGCTTTACAGTAGTAGCGTATGATGTGTAACATTTGAAACCTCACCTTATATAAGTAAAAAAAGAAATAAAACCGACTACAGAAGGAATAAGCCATTTGAACATTATGTTCTGAAATCAAATCAAATAGAGCGCGCTTTCGCGACTTCCTGTTACACACTTCCGTCCCATTTCACGAAATCACTCCCACAAATTGCAGGAAAGCGAGAGGAAAATTGTTACACATCAAAAACTCCCGAAGTATTAAAAAAGTCCCGGGGCTGGCTTTGGGATATCAGTGTTGTCTTTTAGATCCTTAGACTCTCTGAATTTGATCCCGGGACTTCCTAAACAAGATCTCGGGACCGTAATTGGAAAGCAGGTTACCGGTATTATACAAATGTAGTCACGGGATTTCAGCGTCTGCTTACGACCTTCGTGCGTGACCTTCTCGACGACTCATCCGCAGGAGTATCAGGTTGTGATTCGAGCCCCACTGGGTTCATCAGATCATTGCCTGATATCTGCCAAGGTACCACAGGCCAAAACCCCTCGACCATTGGTGGTAAAACGCAGGGTCTGACACTATGGGTAGGCAGATTGGGATGGTATACGCGACTACTTAGCGTCCGTCCCTTGGAAGCAGCGCTGCTTCAGTGAAAAGGACCTATCATCCAGCGCCGTGGCTATTATATATATACGTGACGAGATCGTAATGGGAATGGAGTATTACATTCCACATTCTGATCTCATCAGTAAGGGCACACGTAACCGCTGGTTCAAGCGAGACTGTGCTGATGCTGTTTCTCGAAAGCAGGCGGCATATCGCGCTTGGCCCAGAGGCCGCGCTTTAAGGATCCCGGGGTTGACCCACTGAAAGCTGCCTATAATAGAGCTTCCAAGTCTTGTAAGAAGGCTTACATCAGAGCGGATGCCAAACGTGTAGCACGTACTGGCCGCGAATTGTTAACGCACCCAACGGGCTCCCGTAGTTTTTGGCGTTTGGCTAAGGCCGTGCAGCACAAATTTTGCCAGCCCTCGCTGCCACCTCTGAGATGTCCAGATGGATCGCTAGCTCATGAGCCGCAAGAGAAAGCCGATTTGTTGACAAAGCTCTTTGCGACTAACTCCCGAATCAGTGATTGCAATGCATTGCCATCTACACTACCCCATTGTGGCATTACGATGCCTGATATTAAAATCAGGCAGCGTGATGGTCGTTCGAAGTTGCAATCACTCGACGTCCGGAAAGCTAGTGGACCCGATGGCATCTCAGCAGTTGTACTCAAACATTGTGCAGCGGAGTTGTCTCCCGTGCTTACGCGCCTGTACCAACTCTCTTACTCTTTGGGGCGTGTGCCGGAGGCTTGGAGAGATACTAATGTGCAACCGGTGCAAAAAAAAGGGGACCGCTCAGCCCGGCTAACTATCGGCCGATAGCTGTCACCTCAGTGTTGTGTAAAGTCTTAGAAAGGGTCCTTAACCATCTGACCCGCTACCAAGAAGATTACTCTCTGATTCACGATCGTCAATACGGATTTAGGCCGAATCGATCGACAGGTGACTTTCTAGCGTACGTGACACACATCTGGGGTGAAGCTATAGACAAGCGGGGAGAGTCTGGCTATTAGCCTTAACATCGCCAAGGCTTTTGACAGGGTCTGGCACAAAAGCCTTTTCTCCAAGCTTCCTGCTTACGGTCTGCCTGCTCAGCTCTGCGCCTGGGTAGCTGACTTCCTGCGTGAACGTAGAATTCGCGTCCTTACGGACGGATGTAGTTCGCAGTTCATGTCAGTGAATGCCGGTGTTCCTCAGGGCTCCGTTCTATCCCCCACACTCTTTTTTGCTGCATATCAAAGATTTTTTTTTAACAACACACCAATGAGCTTGGCCCCAAAGTAAGCACTATAAGGCTCGTGTTATGGAATACTAGGGTAACGGATAGAATACATAATAATATACTGTACATAAATACGTATATTTTTATAGAAATACATATCAAACATCCATGACTGGAGTACAAATGCTCGTGTTCATCACACAAACATCGCCCCCACCGGGATTTGAACGGGGACCTCTCGAGGTGGCGACACCATGAAACCCGGCGTATAAACCACTCGGCCACGGAGGTCGTCAAATTTGATTCCACTTGCGAATATTCATTGCTATGCAGACGATAGTACAGTGCATGCGAGATACTTTGAACACGCAGCGGCTGGACAGGTAGAAACCAAGGAGAAACGGGAGAATCTTTTCGCTGAACTCAATCAGGCTTTGGACCACATTTCCGAATGGGGTACCGGGAACTTGGTTGAGTTCAATGCCAAGAAAACTCAGGCTTGCGCTTTCACGGCAAAAACATCGCCATTCCTTCCCCTTCCCTCTCTTCAGGGCACAACACTACCGCTACAGAGCAACATTTCCATGCTCGGTATGGAAGTTCGCTCAGACCTGAATCCAAAGGACTACATCGAAACCGTGATCAAAACAGCTTCACGCAAACTCGGAGTCCTGAACAAGGTACGGCATTTTTTCACGCCCGATCAACTGTGCTTGTTGTACAAAACGCAAGTGCGGTCCTGCGTGGAATATTGCTCGCACCGGATAGGTTGCAGCGGCGCGCTGCCCGCATCATTGGCGATGAAAGGGTAACAAAGAAACTAGAGTCTCTACAATTACGTCGCGATTTGGCAACATTAAGCGCATTCTACCGACTATAGCACGGCGAGCTATTCTCCCTTATCCCTCAATCACCTTTTCTTCAGAGGACCACGCGCGCTGACCTACGTTGCCATCGACATACCTTGGCCACTATTTGAAATTTGGTGACTCATTTCTATGTCGTACTATTCGTAAGTGAAATTCTTTACCCGCGCACGTGTTACCTCCTTCCTATAATCTGGGGTCCTTTAAGAGAGGCGTGAAGAAGCATTTCTGCTGGCCGGCAAGGTGAGGATGGTTGGTGTGACAGTTTATAACTGCTGTACCACCTATCTTCGCGTTTGGACATTATCAACACCTAACATCAGGTGGGGTAGTCATTATCCTACCTGCTTATATAAAAAAAAAATAAAAAAAAGGAAGGGACGAGATGGCGTTGCTCGTCTACTATAAAAGCTAAAACACGGAGTTTTTGAGTGATCTCGACCAAGACTCACTGACTCGCAAGACGTCTAACATTATTATTCGGTTCATACAAATATTTCGAAATAGTAACCGAAATTGATAAAATACATTTCTTTATCATGGAAGAAGTCGCTTTATTGGTTCAACGAACAAGTAATACAAGGCGGCAAGTACAATATATGATACTATTTAATTGCTAATAGTATTTTAAACTATATTATTGTCGCTGATGTTGTCCTAATTAATGTGTTTTTCAGAATATATTAATTGTGAGCGAGTTGGCGTATTAATTGTGACCAGCGACAAGTCAACACTTGACTATCACATGCTGAGCCACATACCTTTTAGTTTTAATTAAAATTTACTTTCATTCTATTCCATTTTATTTATTATTTATTTCTTTCGGCAGGGTCCTGATTGACCACAAATGGTACCTACTATGAATAATGTCTATCTACTACAAAATAACTCCATTGAGTATAATTTTATTTTTTTTGTATGTTGTTTTGTAAATTATTAATGTGGTCAATAAAAATGTTTCTTTCTCTCTCTCTCTATTTGTGTATTGTACCAATAGGGTATTTGACAACTTTTAGAAAACGATCTCACGTTATTTACTAATGTTTATAGAGTCCATAAAAAGTGGATATTCATTATTGTGTTGTGTATTTCTGTAAAAAACCAAATCAAAAACTCTATTTTCGAGTTGCCGTAAAAAAACGTGTCTCTGGACAATATGGCGTCTCACTGGTGTGTGACGTCACACGACCGTGTGTCACTTTAACCGGAAGATTCTTTGCGTGTGACGCCATTTTATCCTCCACCATTCCCAACCGTTTTGGGTCACGTGACAATAGACAAGAAAACTATTATCTTTATAGTGGGTTTTTTTTTAGTAAATTTATGGTTTTTTTTTCTGTAAAAATAGTAAAAACTCCTGCCAATATTCATTCTAAATACAGATGCGAACAATTGGCACTTTATTTTTAAAACCGTCAAATACCCTATTGGCATTAAGATTATCGTATATCAATCAATAACTATTATGTTTATCGTGGGTTTTCATAATTTTAAAAAATATTCATAATTTTATTAAAAGTAAAATTATGAATATTTTTTCTGTAAAAATAGTAAAAACTCCTGCCAATATTCATTCTAAATACAGATGCGAACAATTGGCACTTTATTTTTAAAACCGTCAAATACCCTATTGTAGGGGCCGTTACTAGGACCCTAACGACTGTCAATATGTCAATTAGTCACGGGACGATTTGTCAGGAGATAATTATTAAAATACGTCAATATGCTGTGAATGCCTTCATTGCACTGTCATATAATGTAAAATATTTTTCTTAAACCAATCAGTGGGTCAACCGTGTCAGCAGTTTAGAGTGCATCGACTCGGAATGCAAACTTAATAAAATATAATTAAAATGGTTTATTTCAATATACAATAGGTGTCTATTGAAAACAGTGTAGTTGCATAATATGGTATGGTACTTACGCTGGTATTATGCGGCGGCACGATGAGTTGTGTGATCTCGCCGGCGTGGACGCAGAACCGATGCAGTAAAGTGCCGCTGAACAGATCCCACAGGCATACCGCGAAATCTATGCCCCCCGACACTAGGTGCGCTTTGTCGTATCTATGGGTACAAAATATAATAATCGGTTCTTATTTATTACAAAAAATACTCTCGTCACAGATAGGGATGCAAACGATACATCGATGTTAGTAAAACATCGCTGTTTTGATGAGCGATATATCGTCGATACATCGTTCACTACATTTACAAACATCGACGTCGTTCTTGTCTGTTAGGATTTTCGGAATCACTGTGACGTTCGCTCGCATTGTATTGTTGTGCTGACACGTAAAGCGTAAATGAATTTGATTTAATATAATTTGATTCTTTTACTACATACCTATACACATTTTAGATTTCTAGATTGAGTGAGTAATGTACTTATTAATTTATAAAGTAGTTAGGTTTTGATGATTTGTTTTTTCTTTAGGTTTTTGCTGGCGGGTACGTGAAAATTGAGCGTATAATTTTAAGGTTAAAAAAATGACATAACGAATAGCTTGTTGACTAAAGCAGCTTGTGAACTGACGGTTCATATTAATTTGTTTATTTGCCTAATTGAATGATGAGAATCATTTTGTTATAATTTAATTTACCATCATGTAATTCTTATTTTTATTAACCTTTAAGCATCGAGCATACTCATACCAAATAGAGTGGTATTGTTAATTGCTTCAATGAAGCATCCTATTAAAAATAAAAAAAACATCGGCAAAAACATCGATATATCGCTCTTATCAACGATATTTTTGAACATCATGTTTTAAAATATCGATGTTTTTCAGAACGATGTTGCATCCCTAGTCACATATTGAAAAAAATGTGAGCCGTCACGGAACGACTGGCAGATGTGAAACTCTAGCAGGTTTACGATAAATACACTCGGAGAATTGCTCGGGATGCGTGCGGTAAAAAATGACATAGGTCCTGCCTCGAAGGGCGTTGGCGCCATATTGATCGGCGAGTAGTTGAGCACGGGAATCAACGATTATAAATACCCTAGATACACCAACACCAACACGAACAAAATCGTGCCCGAGACCTGTCCAAAAGGTACATTGGACGATCCACGGAGCTCCGTAAGATGATTGGTTAGTCAAAAACAATATAAGGCATTATTCAAACATTGAAAGTCACCTTTAATGCATACTATATAAGGTCTTAATTAAAACGCATGCGTCAAAGAGTTATAACAGTGCGAAATGCAAGCTCGTAAAATTTTACGATTTATTGCTATATGCGGAAGAATGAAGACCTTATTACTTTGACTCTACGCGCAATTCTGAATGCGCTGTTAGCAATATAGCAGGTACGGACCGCGTGGAAAAGAGACGGCTATATAACCGACCATGCATTTGAATATAACAAATATTTTCTATTAAATCAGTTTATAGTAAGTATTAGAACAAAATTTGTCTCCAATGTATTAAATTAACAAACATTGATCAAATACCTGTCGAAAAAACGTCATTTTACATTCTATAAGTATTTTTTTGCCTGTTTACACGGAGCTCAGCGGCAAGTTCACTTTTCAACGGTCCGCGCGTGACTGTGAGCCAAGAAGTGCTTGAGTGGAGTTCAAGCACTTCTTGATTGGGACACATTTCGAGCGCTCGTGGTGTATCTATAATCATAATCAATCATAATCAAAATCATTTATTCAGTTTAGGCTGTTACAAGCACATATGAATGTCTAGAAGCTACGCCATCGGTTCGTAAATCTACGGCGGGAGACCTTGTACTGAGAAGAACCGGCAAGAAACTCAGCAAGGGCTGTTTTTTTCTCCCTGTTTTATTATTTACAGAGTCGTCAAATTGAAAAATGACTTCAGAGGTGATTCATGAAGTCACTTTTCATTACATAATTATTAAATATACATTAATTGTTTACCTGCATTTTGATTGCTGTGTCATACAGTATAAATACAAATAGTGTTATTTAAAGGAAGTTAGGGCAGACTCATCTCCGCTGGCAGCACCCGTTCACGAGCATGACGCATGAACCAGCCATCGCTTCGCTCAACCATATTTTAGGGAACGTAACGACCCGCCTCACACGACACCGCCGAAGAGACTATTATGAGAGCATGACTACCCATAACTACCCATACTAACTACAACATATTTACTTAAATTAAGGTCATTTACCTGTAAGACAAAAATCACGACCACGCCGTTTTGTCAATCAAATATTCTTAAACAGTCTGATAATCTTACTTAAGTTATTAACTTTATATACAGCTTTCAGTTTAATTATAGTATTGTCAACACATAATTCATAATTTAAATCATATAGAAATACCCGTTGGAATGGTTGGAACAGTTCATACCCAAGCATTTTTGTCTGTAATATAATCAGACACTTTATAATATGCTTTCTTAACTAGTGATTTTTTAATCATCATCATCATCATCATCAGCCGAAAGACGTCCACTGTTGGACATAGGCCTCCCCCATGGATTTCCACAACGATCGGTCCCATGCTGCCCGCATCCAACGGCTTCCCGCGACCTTTACCAGATCGTCGGTCCACCTTGTGGGGGGCCTGCCAACACTGCGTCTCCCGGTACGCGGTCGCCACTCGAGGACCTTTCCGCCCCAGCGGCGATCGGTCCTGCGAGCAATGTGCCCTGCCCATTGCCACTTAAGGTTTGCAATTCTGTGGGCTATGTCGGTGACTTTAGTTCTCTTGCGTATCTCCTCATTTCTGATTCGATCACGCAGAGAAACTCCGAGCATAGCCCTCTCCATTGCCCTTTGGTTGACTTTGAGCCTTCTTACAAGACCCATTGTAAGCGGCCACGTCTCGGTTCCGTATGTCATCACTGGCAACATGCACGAATTGAAGACTTTCGTCTTGAGGCACTGCGGTAGATGTTCCGAGAAGATGCTACGTAGCTTCCCGAACGCTGCCCAGCCGAGTTGGATTCGTCGATTAACCTCTTTCTGGAAGTTGGACTTACCCAGTTTGTCCCAGGTATACGTACTGGTCAACAGCTTCCAGTGTAGAGCTCCCAACAGTCACTGGAGTGGGTACGACATGGGAATTCGACATGATTTTCGTCTTGTCCATGTTCATTTTGAGACCCACTTGTTGGGACACCCTACTGAGGTCGCCGAGCATTGTGCCAAGGTCATCCATGGTCTCAGCCATGACTACGATATCATCTGCAAATCGAAGGTGCGTCATGTACTCGCCGTTTATGTTGATGCCAAGTCCGCTCCAGTCCAAAAGTTTGAAAACGTCTTCCAGCGCAGCTGTAAACAGTTTCGGTGATATAACGTCACCCTGTCTTACACCACGCTGCAGCTGGATTGGCTTCGTGTTTTGGTCCTGGAGTCGAACTGACATAGTGGCGTTTTGCATACAACGACTGCAACACTTCGATGTATCGATAGTCTATTTGGCACCTTTGGAGTGACCGAAGCACGGCCCATGTCTCGATCGAATCGAAGGCTTTCTCGTAGTCCACAAACGCCAAGCATAATGGCAGGTTATACTCTTCGGTCTTCTGTATAACCTGCCGCAGCGTATGGATCTGGTCTACGGTACTAAACCCTTTTCGGAATCCGGCTTGTTCGGGAGGCTGGAAGTCGTCAAACCTGCGCGCAAGACGATTCGTGAGGACTCTCGAAAACAGCTTGTATACATGACTCAGGAGCGTGATGGGTCTGTAATTCTTCAATTGGGCCCTGTCGCCCTTCTTGAAGAAAAGCGCCACCACTCCCCTATGCCATGCGTTAGGCGTTCTGCCCCGAGTATGACAGAGTTAAATAGCTTCTGAAGAGATTTCAAGACTGGTCGTCCACCTGCTTTCAGAAGCTCGGCTGTAACTCCGTCATCACCCGGCGCCTTATTGTTTCCACTCCAGCGAATCCTGCTCAATTCTTCCTCCAGTTCCAGCAGCTTCTCCTCGGTCCGTAGTGTGCGTGCGTTGTACGTTGCCAGGGCCAAGGTCGTTTGACGGGGGATTTTTGCCGCCCGGGGATTGTTCGCACCCCTGGTCCCGGCGCCGAGTCGGCGTCCGTCAGCGCCGCCACGGACTCCAGCACCGCCGGGCACTTGGGGCCTCTCATTATGTACCATCATTTCAGGGGGGTTTTGGGCCGTCTCCCACCACGCTGACCCAGTGCGGGTTGGTGGGGAGCGCCAGAGCCTCGTCCGTTGGTCGGCAGGGTACACCGCGGGCAGGTGAGGTTGGCTCGGGTGCCGTTGGGTGTTAGGCGGCACCCCTTATACCCCTGATTTTTTAATGGTCGATTTAAATTTAGTCATGCTTAACTCTTGAATATTGCTTGGAACTTTATTGTAAAAGCGAACACTAAGACCTCTAAACGAATTATTGATTTTGTGGAGCCTAGTAGCAGGTAAAGTTAGGTTATTTTTATTTCTAGTATTATATGTATGTATTTCACTATTTTTAGTAAACAAATTAATATTTTTTTTTACAAATACTAAGTTGTCATATATGCATTGTGATGCAACTGTCAATATACCTATTTCTTTAAACTTATCTCTTAATGAATCCTTAACTTTAAGATTATAAATTGATCGAATAGCCCTCTTCTGCAGCACAAATATAGTTTGAATGTCGGCGGCATTTCCCCACAGTAAAATACCGTAAGACATTACACTATGAAAATAACTAAAGTAGACTAATCTGGCAGTTTCTATATCCGTTAACTGCCGTATTTTCATTACAGCATATGCTGCAGAACTAAGTCTCTTCGACAATCCATCAATATGTGGGCCCCACTGCAGCTTAGAATCTAGTGTGATTCCTAAGAACACTGTGGTATCTACAGAGCTCATATGTCGATCCTTTATATTAACATTAGTTTTAACCTGTTTCACATTAGGTAATACAAATTTCAAACACTTAGTTTTCCCTTCATTTAGCATCAAATTATTAACATTGAACCAGTGGACCACCTTCGAAATAGACCTGTTCACGTCATCAATTTGTGACTCCCTACGTTTAATTTTAAACAAAAGTGAAGTGTCATCCGCAAATAATACTATTTCGTGGTTATCCTTTACAAAATAGGGCAAGTCATTGCTATGGTATGCTATGGTATTTAATATCGTTGATTGGAATATATTGCATTTTACAGGCGAGCGTCGCCACGCCAGATATCGGTTTTGCGTGCGCCTAAAGATGTTTCACATCAAAAATCCCCCGATTAAGTGCAACTTCTTAGACTTAAGTTTTTAAATGAATATTTATTGCTTACTAACGACTACCCGCAACTACGTCCGCGTTATTTTTAAAATCGCTCAGGATTGTATAATTTTTCCATATCCTATGTCTCAATCCAGGTAATGAAGTTGATATGTGCTGGATTTTAATCACATCAGTACCTTTAGCACGAACCATTATCGAATTCGTATCGTTTGCGAGTCCGAAATGTCGTTGTCAAATGTGTACTGATTTTTAGTTCTCGTTACGTACTTTGTGCCGCTGCTGTGCAAGTTTCCATACAAAATTTGACATTGACATTGCGGTTTGCAAACTATTCGAATTCGATTATGGTTCGTGCTAGGAACTGCTTCAACCTCCTATACAAAATTTCATATCCTTTTTAACCTTTTCTGATTTTACTGTCACGACAATAAGTAGCATGTAACCATGTCTAGGGTTTTATCTATTTTATTACCAAAATTCAACATAATCGAATGAGTGGTATTGGTGGGAAAGCGTAAGAAATAAAATCATTTTCGTATTTAGTTTAGTTTAGTTAAGATTTGAACAAAATAAAATTTTTAGTTATTATAAATTTTCAAGCATTTATTTATAAACAATTTAATTTTCTTTAGATTAACAAAAAAAAACTTTATACAAACATTTAAAGAAAATATAACTAGAAAAAATTGCACGCGGACAAGGCAGCAGACAGGACTCGAACCCGCACCCTTCGCAATCCAAGCGAATGCACTGACCAATTGCTACCGTGGCCCTCACGGACCGCGTCGAAATTCTTCTAGCCATTCTTAAGCTGCAAGGTAGCGACATCTCTTCGCATTATAGTTAACCCACAATGTCAAATGAATACTTTTACAAGTATTAAACATTTGAAAGAAGAAATAGCAATTATTTTTATTATTTTAAATCTAAAGAAAATATAACTAGAAAAAAATCCACGCGGACAAGGCAGCAGACGGGACTCGAACCCGCATCCTTCGCAATCCGGGCGAATGCACTGATCATTATGCTAGCACGGCCCTATTAGCCGCGTCGAAATTTTCCTAGCGTTAAGCTGCAAGGCAGCGCCATCTCTTCGCATTATAGTTAACCCACAATGTCAAATGAATACTTTTTCAAGTATAAAACATTTGAAAGAAGAAATAGCAATTATAGTTATGATTTTATTTATTATTAAGCATTTAACTGCTAGAAATTTCTAGATCTAAAGTTTACTAGAAATTTTCTAGTAAACTTTTTTCTTTTTTTCTTTAGATTTAAACATCTAGCAGTTAAATGCTTAAAAATAAATAAAATCATCAACTTTTTAATCAAAAAATACAGATAGAATACTCACCGTTGATGCACATGGTGTGGGTAAAGCAGACAGTTGACTCTGCCGTTGTGTCCCAGCAGTAGCTGGTGGCAGTGCCAGTCTAAAACAACAATACAGACGTAAACATCAAATTCCCAGCTATAATATAACACTAGTTATGCCCCGCGGTATATTAGGAATATTTTCCCGCAGTAAAATGTGGCCTATGTGTTAATCCACGGTATTAGCTAGCTCCATACCAAATTTTATTAAACTAGCTCCAGCCGTTTAGACGGGAAGAAGTAACAAACATACACTCATAAACATTGATTCTTCTCAAAATTAAAATACATAAAAAAGAATTTTAGAATATTTTCATAGTTAAAATAGAATGAAATGACTTACTGTGCCGTCCTTTTCTAAGATCCAGGAATTATTCGAAGTCAATCCAGGGATTGAGTCTGTGCGGAATGAGAATGGGCGTGCCGAAAAACGGAACTAACATTAAGATTTTTATTTGGCAATCAAACTCAGTAATCTGTAAAACGTCAAAGTTTTGTATTGATTTTGTTGTTGTGATTTCTTGCGGTTTTTTTATATTTATTATCATGTCTAAAAGGGGTAAAACCTTACAATTACGCTAGAAAAACAGTACAGCGCCCTCCAATCTAAATCCCATTCTCTTTCCGCACTGACTCTAACAAGAATCTTTTAGAAAAAGTTCCGCAGTTTAGTTTAGAGTCTGTTCAATTGAAGTCCCGGGATTCCGTGTGATTTTTTTATTACAATCCTAGGATTATAAATGCCTTTTAGAGAAAGGCCTAGGACAGTGTTTCCCAACCTTTCTGATACTGCTACTCCTGTAACCTGTTAGGAAAACAGATTTTACCCCGACTTTAAGATGTTATCATCAGTTCAAGAAATTCCAATTTGGCCGCTACATATTCGTCTCTAACAATGTCATCATCAGGAGTAAATCTCGCCTCGCTTCCCACACTCAGCACCCCGCGGGCTCGCTAGCAAGAAGGAGCGCATGTTCTATTTAGTAGTATTATTATATAGTATTTTCTTATTATTTAGATTTGATCAAATAATTAGGTTCTTTGTTATCCCTGAAGTATGGCTGATTTACCCCCGGAGGGGTAATTACCCCCAGGTTCGGAACTCAGGCCCTAGGATATCGGGACTATTTGTATAGTATAGGGGGCATATGAGCAGACAGCCCCTGATGGTAACGATGGTAATAGAAATCTGTAACACCAGGAATATCGCAAATGCGATGAACGCCTTCAAGATAGGAGTACGCTCTTTTTTTTTAAACTAGGTACCAGAATTTTCCTGGATCATTTGAAGGCAATGAATAAATATTTCCAACACTAACACCAATTAGCCTAGCCCCAAAGTAATCCCGGGATTGTTCGCGAGATCTCGGGCCTATCAAATTTTAGACTCGCTATTTAAGCATGATCAAGGGATGTCCACCTATCCGAGACTGAATTTTGATTGTCTCTGGATTTTATTAAGAGTCCCGGGATCTGGATCCCTGACCGACCATCACGATGGAGCCGTCCTCGCGTGAGTCCCGGGATCCCGGGACCTGAGCCTATGTCCTCACCGTCCCGCTGCTGGTGGGCCCCGTGCAGCAGCTGCAGCTGGATGGTGCGGGTGGCACCTCACGATCACGATGGAGCCGTCCTCGCCTGAGTCCCGGGATCCCGGGACCTGAGCCTATGTCCTCACCGTCCCGCTGCTGGTGGGCCCCGTGCAGCAGCTGCAGCTGGATGGTGCGGGTGGCACCTCACGATCACGATGGAGCCGTCCTCGCGTGAGTCCCGGGATCCCGGGACCTGAGCCTATGTCCTCACCGTCCCGCTGCTGGTGGGCCCCGTGCAGCAGCTGCAGCTGGATGGTGCGGGTGGCGCTCACGATCACGATGGAGCCGTCCTCGCGTGAGTCCCGGGATCCCGGGACCTGAGCCTATGTCCTCACCGTCCCGCTGCTGGTGGGCCCCGTGCAGCAGCTGCAGCTGGATGGTGCGGGTGGCACCTCACGATCACGATGGAGCCGTCCTCGCGTGAGTCCCGGGATCCCGGGACCTGAGCCTATGTCCTCACCGTCCCGCTGCTGGTGGGCCCCGTGCAGCAGCTGCAGCTGGATGGTGCGGGTGGCACCTCACGATCACGATGGAGCCGTCCTCGCGTGAGTCCCGGGATCCCGGGACCTGAGCCTATGTCCTCACCGTCCCGCTGCTGGTGGGCCCCGTGCAGCAGCTGCAGCTGGATGGTGCGGGTGGCGCTCACGATCACGATGGAGCCGTCCTCGCGGCCCACCACCAGGCGGTTGGCCGCCAGGAGATATATGGACGCGGTCAGTTTGATCTCTGAAACCATACCTGATAATTAAAGATCAGATAACCCACAATGGCGCAGGTGGGCGAATGACGAGGTTGCATTACTGAAATATTGTTATATTACACCAATACTGAATATGTGTGAAGTTATAGGGGGTGGTAGAGCGACGAGAGTGCATCACTGAAATATTGTGATACTACACCAACACTGAATATGTGTGAAGTTATAGGGGGTGGTAGAGCGACGAGAGTGCATCACTGAAATATTGTGATACTACACCAACACTGAATATGTGTGAAGTTATATGGGGTGGTTTTTCGGCAGCGATCGTTGAAGTTAAGCAACTTTCGCAGTGGTCGGTCATTGGATGGGTGACCAAAAATTTACTATCTCGAACTCCTCCGTGCTTCGGAAGGCACGTTAAGCCGTCGGTCCCGGCTGCATCTGCAGTTGTTAGCACCCGCCAATACGCACTGAGCCCGCGTGGTGGGTCATGGCCCAATCTTCCTATTCCATCCATAAGAAAGGCCTGTGCCCCAGCAGTGGGGACATTAATAGGCTGATGATGATGATGTTTGTACCTGAAGTTTAAATGTTGGCTTATATGAAAGGCAGGGCCGGATCTACCATATGGCTTTTTGGGCTTCAGCCCAAGGCCCCGTGTATTCAAGGGGCCCTAAAAATGCATTGTTATATATAACTCCAAAGATATTACCCCTATATAACTCCAAAGATATTACCCCTATAATGGCAAGAGCAAATTAAAGAATTATGAAGCTCGGAAACGCATCAAACAGCTACTGCTGGATTCTTAATGGTTCCATATACGTCCGCAAAGCAGAGAAAACACTCAAGAACTTAATGATAAAGTTGGGGCTAACACGGGCGAAATATCAGCAAACCCTCACAGTCCACAATGATCGGCTCCAACTCCAACGACCACAGCACCACTTGTCATTTTATTATATTTTTTGGCATTGTATTCCTACACATTTTCACTCTCACACACACTCTTACATAACACTCAATCTCATAAACACTCTCACATACATACCAAAATACACATACTTCTTATTAGTCCCTGAACTAGGAATGTTCGATGAGCACAACTTGAAATTTCTTCCCTTAGCTTCGCTTCGCAAAGGCTTAGTTCTGGATGGGTGTATCTGTTTTTCAGTACTGCATAAGTTCATATCACCCAAATGGCGTCCATAAATATAGATATAGTTAATGAGATGGACGAAAACTGCAAAACTGTGCTCAATGAGTCTTATGGGCTTAAACTCTTAACTTTAAATATCCGAAGCATTAAACGTAATTTTGATTCCCTCATGGTCGCGTTAAAAAGACTGGACATTGTATTTGATGTAATTATTCTTACCGAATGTTGGCTACAATGTATCCCGATTATTAATCAAATGTCTGGATTCAGTGTATTTCAAACCAGCAAAATTTTGAATAAATGTGGAGGCGTTACGGTTTACGTTTGAAATAATTTAAATACAATCGTACAAGAGATGGATTTATCTGAAGCGGAGGGCCTATCAATTGAAATCTTTAATGTAGGCACTGTCCTGGCGGTATACCGCTCTCCATCTTTCTCTGACATATTAGCTTTTCTAAAATCACTGCACTCATCTTTAAAGTCATTCGAACGCTCATCGACACTTATACTGGCAGGTGACCTAAACATAAACATTCTTGAACCAAATGATTTCACTATGGTTCCTGCAATCACACGCCCTACAAGAGCAAAATCATGTCTCGATCACATATTCTTGAGGTGTTCGACGTCTGACTCGATTGGTGTGATTGGCCACACTGACATCACAGACCATAGCATATCCATGCTTGGTACCGGAATGCCCCATCGTAAGTCAAAACTTTTCACTAAGGAAATTATAAAGATCAACTACAAGGCTGTAGCAGAAGAACTAAGGCAGGCAGACTGGTCACGTATAACAACGACCCAAGATGTAGATCTGGCCTCTGAAAATTTTGGGTTGATTATTTCCACTGCAGTCAGAAACCATACTACCAAAACTCGAGTCAAACCCTCAAAACTAATCTTCAAGCCTTGGATGACTTCCGGTCTGTTATAATGTACGAAACACAGAGACAGGCTCTATGTTGATTTTAGAAAGCACCCCAATGACAAAATGAAGGAATTGGTCTACAAAAGGTACCGTAACTACCTTATGAATCTCTTGCATCACTTGAAAAGGGAATACGAATCAAAGGAACTTGCCAGTAACAAAAATAATGCGAAAGCTCTCTGGAAGACCATAAAAAGGATAAGTAATTCAGGAGGAAACTCCAGTCCTGCTGTGGAACTTACTAATCTCAAACCTGGTGACGCTAGTGAATCTGTTAATATCTGCAATGACTACTTCGCAAACGTCGGTGAAAGACTGGCAAACAAATTACTAGCGCAAACAAGCACGACTTCAAGTTCTACATTGCATGACCCTCGTTTGGATCCCCCTGCTCCTTTTTCCTTTTTCATGCAGCCGACCGATGCATTCGAGGTTGATCGTATCATTTCACAGCTAAGAAGCGATAGTGCAGCTGGCATTGATGGATTTAGCCCTATTCTACTGAAAGCTATTAAGGCAGAAATAATTACTCCCATTACTTACATCCTCAATCTCAGTATTGCAACCGGGATGTTCCCCGATATTTGAAAAAGAGTCCCCAAAACTACCGACCGATTTCGCTTCTGGGTGTGTTTTCGAAAGTCTACAGAAGATGCTGTCACGAACATGGTTGAATTTGTCACCGATCACCTTGACAAAGGTAGTAAGTGTATTGGAGTTCTACTGGATCTTGCCAAGGCGTTTGATACTGTGCCGGTACATTTGCTACTCAAAAAGTTGGAGAATATTGGAATAAGAGGCTTACCCTTGAGTTGGTTTCGTAGTTATCTAACTGGCAGACGTCAGTGCATAAGGGTGGGAGAGTTTGTCAGTGACGAGCTGCCTGTACGCTACGGTGTTCCACAGGGCAGTGTTTTGGGACCAACTTTGTTCATTATCTTTATGAACGATATTCATAAAGCAACACCACGGGATGCCGAAATATATTGCTATGCAGATGATACTATTGCCATTTTTCATGACAGATGCTGGGAGGTTGTGTTTAATAAGGCTGAAAGGGGAATGGCTATTCTAAAAAGTGGCTCGACGGCAATCTTCTTTCTTTGAATGCCTCCAAGACAAAGTATTTATGCTTCCATAAAACCAAAGCATCAGAACCTCCCCCGCCCGTTCCTTACGTATTCACTCAGATTGCTTCTCTGAATACTGCACCTGCCAGAGCTTAGAGCGAGTTACAAATGCCAAGTATCTGGGTATCACTTTAGACGAAAACCTATTTTTTAAGATGCACATAGAAACCACTGCTTCACGTATCAGAAACCTGATCTACGTTATGAAAACTCTTAGGAGCTGCGCTGACGAGGAGATTCTCAATCTCGTTTATAAGAGTCTCGGGGAGTCACTACTTAGTTACTGTATTCCTGTCTGGGGTGGAACCGGGATCACTGCCATGTTAGTTTTGGAGAGAGCACAACGAGCTGTCTTAAAGGCGATGCTAAAGAAACAACAAAAACAGAGACCACCCCCCCCCCCCTCCCCAAGTATGATTAATTTTAATATTTAAGATTAATTCTTAATAAGAATGGCTAGAGGAATTTCGACGCGGTCCGTGAGGGCCGCGGTAGCATAATAGGTCAGTGCATTCGCCCGGATTGCGAAGGGTGCGGGTTCGAGTCCCGTTTGCTGCCTGGTCCGCGTGGATTTTTTTCTATGTATTGGTTTTATTAAAAATCTACAAAACATTCCGTCCAAAGTGATTTTATTTGATATACAGTTTGATGACTAATCGCGCACAAGTGGCGCGGCGGTCAACAGGCGCGGCGCTGGACGCCACCCTTCGGCAGTATTTTCAGTCTAGCTCCTAATCCAATTTCACGCCCATTATAAAAGTTGGCACCAATGTTCTACACAATATTAGCAATTTATATAAAAAAAAAATAAAAAAAAACTAAATGGTCTAACTTGATGAAAATCAAGGAAAAAAACTTAAATTGGTTTTTTTTTAAGAAAAAATTTTTTTTTTCTTTTCCAAAAACACAGTTAAAAAGCCCAGTAAATAAAGTAGGAAATCCAGTGGTTTAGTTATTTTAATATATAATTTTATGAGTCCATAATCGGCTTTGAAGTACTGCATGCCAACCGGTTGTCGAAAACTTCAAAGTCCCATTACTCTTTAACTAGTCATTATATCACAAAAATATTTAGTACACGTATCAATAATAAGTATAAGTAGAACATACTCAAATATTACTGAAATCGGAAACATCGAGTTTTTTTACCTGTCCGCTTCACGTGGAATGCCCCAGATATTCTTCTACACACATACACACACGCACGCAAACAGATATAGACAGACATACACATACATACAATATTGATTTTAATTTAGTATTTATAATTGATTTCATTACGTTTGTTTTGTTACAAATAATAATTACATATTAATTATAGGTCCCATTTTTAGGTTTTTCGCATATATCTCGGAAACTATGCATCCTAGCATTGTTGAAGAGTTATCCGGTCAAATAGAGCAAAAATTTGAAGCAAATTTTTTTTTGCATAATTACAGACTTTCAAGAGCGGATATCTCGAAAACTATACAAGATATCAAAAAACTTGACTGAATAAGACTTGTAGCAAATTTAATCAGCTTTCACTTTTGTCAAAGTCTCATGTCGCTAGGATGCATAGTTTCCGAGATATATGCGGAAAACCTAAATATGGGACCTTCAATCCCCCCCCTTCCCCCCGGCTTAAGGGCTACGGTCGGGGACTTTTGATATGTTTACCTCCTAAGTAGTCCTAACAAAGTTACGAAGTCAAAAATTGTGTTCCAAGCATTTCCCTCTATACCTGTTTTTGAGCATTCGTTGCCTGGACTATAAACAATTTCTTTACCTAAAATATAGTAAAATTATATAAATTCATATAATCAATTTTTTTGGTTTTTCCATCAATATATCATTAAGTTTTCTTTTTAAACTATTAATAGATAGATTACAAAGATCCAAATCAAAGAACTCTTTTTTATAAACGTTGGTGGATCGACACATTTAAGAATTACGTGTATAGTTTTTGCATAACGGCGAAGGAACAAAAAATTGCAATAGGCTAGTTGACACTTTTTGGGAATATGTTTTAAATGGTTAATAACTGTTCAATTAGACCGAAAAAAAATACATTATATTTTTTTTTTTACTTAGAAAGCTACAAAACTTTAATTTTAAAATAGATTTTTAATGGACATACAAAAACGCTGTCGGTCATTTTAGTCTATAGATTATCTATGGTATGACGGGAACAATAGTAAACAAACACTCGCAAGCACGTAAGATATAACCTATCTGAATTTACATTACAAAACCATGACTTCTAATAGATTTCATGATAAATATAGTAATTATCACGATTGTATTATACGAGAATAAAGAAACACATCGTTAAAAACTCCAGAAATGTTGTAGTTTAAATTTTTGAAGTTATACTTCTTTAGCCGCGTTATGAAAAAATTATGAGAGTGAAATTTTAAGATGCGCGCGCATCACTGTAACACAAAAGTAACATAATGAAGTTAGCCGCGGGCGCGTTATGAAAAAATCATGTGAGTGAAATTTCGAGATGCGCGCGCATCACTGTAACACAATAGTAACACCATGAAGTTGGCCGCGGGCGCGTTATGAATGTTAGTGTCTAATGAATGTTAATAATCCACCATTATTAGACATCTGTTCGAAAGGTACTTTGAACGATCCACGGAGCTCCATAAGATGATCGCGTTGTCAAAAACAATGTTGGCACGCTCGTCGCCTCTGATCACTGTTTTCATATTTATAATATTTATCCACATGTTTCTAGTTTCTATATAGACACAACGTGTTTTAGTTACTTACAAGTGCTAATTACATATGGACTAATAACTTAAATTCAGTAGTGATTTTAATGGAATATTTTGAATATTTATTTAATTTTTCAAATTAAAACTGAACTTAATTGACTGTGTTAACTATCCTTTTCCAGTCCTTTTATTATTTTATTGTAATTATAAATTATTTGCATGCAATTAAAAAATATTTTTAATGATGCGAAAGAAGTATAAC